TAAAAATTCATTGATAGTTATCTGAAATTTCGGAATGATCTACATTTTTGATGAGTATAGATGACCTGCACCATACAGTTATATAAACCTATATCTCCTTCACTAAAATTATTTGGCTAGTATGCAAAGTCTACTAATAGAACTTGTTAAGCAGATCAAATCACATGATTTATGTCTAAGAACCATAGGTCTAGTATCAATAATTAAAATTTTCCATATAATGAACTTTTCAAAAAAAAATTTTTAAAAAAAATACAAATGTTTCTTTATTTATAAAAAATCTTAAATATAATTCCAGTATGTACGATTTTTTTAAAATAATTTTTTCAGAATATATGTTAATTGAAAATGCAAAAATATTCGGGGTTTGTTAGTAGTATTTTAATTTAAAGAGGGATTGAATTTACTCGGAAGATCTACACAAATTTGGACCAAAAATCCCTGTACGTTTAAGGGATAATATTTCTTCATCTAGGTTATATTTAGCTCGAGCGTAAACTCAAGCTAGCTCGAAATTTAATATTATTTTTTATAAAATCACGATTTTAGAGACCATAAAAAATAATCGAATAATTATATATAGAAGTAAAACAATAATAAATTGTATAGTGCGCAAAGTTTATAGCCACCATTTCTGCGCCATACGGCTAACACATGATGGTTTTTTTTGACACAGCTTTGTGAGTCTAAATTTGGAAATAATCATTGTAGCCTATACTAAAATCGAAAAAAGATCATTATTGTTTTTAAACCTTCAAAATATCAATGGAAAATATTTTGAATTTTTATTAAGTGGACATAGTTTCTAAGTTAAAATTAATCCTTATGTTGAATTACATATAGAAATGTTGTTAACTCAAAATCATAATGTTTGTAATTATCCCCGTTTCTATTGCCATGCCTTGTTTATGTTAATGAAAAAATTTATTAAGTTGGTATAATTTCTAAGCCGAAATTGATCCTTGTGGTGTAAACTGCATGTAGAAATGGTATTAACTTAAAATCAAGATTAATTTTCCCCATTACTATTGAGCAAAACTGGCTGGAAAACATAATAAATTTTGAGTGACAAGCCTTATATTTCATTGCTGCACCAAGTAAACAGGGTCTAATGTTTTCTCCAATTATATATAGCTCATATATTATAGGTTAATATCATGTAAAAAACTTATATTTGGTCAGAGGACCTCAGAACCATAGTAAGATCCTAACTAAAAGAAAAAAATTTGGATTATTAAACAGAGATTGGACGAATTTATTAAATGTGAACCAATGACACTAGAACTAGAACATGAGGATGTTCTAAACTTTGATGCAAGACAATTTCCTTAGATGAACAATAATTGGCCCAGAAATGAATTTGAATTATTATCTGACAATGAATTAAATGATGAAACTATACTTTTGAGGGTGATTTTAACTAAACAAGTTCTTGCTCAAAAACCTATTATTAACTCTAATCACACAAATCACGTGAATGCAAGAAATTCCCTATTAATTTGAAAATTAAATTTCGCCCAAGTGGTGCAGCAATAGGTTTGATTTTTCTTTGGCCAACTTTATTGCTTTGTGGTTATCAACCATATGATAAAGATAATTTCATTTTTAAGAGCCAATTATTGTATGTCACAAACAAATAAATGTGATTACTCTGATTATTCCGAAGAAAAAATTGTAGAAATTAATTGAATTATAAAGTTAAAACATTGTTGTGTTTTTTTTTAAAAAATAAATAGTTTTTTTTTTTTATAGAAAAATTCAAAATATTTTCCATTGATATTTTGAAGGTTTAAAAACAATAATGATCTTTTTTCGATTTTAGTATAGGCTACAATGATTATTTCCAAATTTAGACTCACAAAGCTGTGTCAAAAAAAACCATCATGTGTTAGCCGTATGGCGCAGAAATGGTGGCTATAAACTTTGCGCACTATACAATTTATTATTGTTTTACTTCTATATATAATTATTCGATTATTTTTTATGGTCTCTAAAATCGTGATTTTATAAAAAATAATATTAAATTTCGAGCTAGCTTGAGTTTACGCTCGAGCTAAATATAACCTAGATGAAGAAATATTATCCCTTAAACGTACAGGGATTTTTGGTCCAAATTTGTGTAGATCTTCCGAGTAAATTCAATCCCTCTTTAAA